ATAAAGCTTACCTTTATTTGGTCTTCGAGCATCTTTCACCAATTTTGGGATTGTTGCAACTTTTTTTTTTTAAATATATTTTATTGATTTTGTACAGAGAGGAAGGGAGAGAGATAGAGAGCTAGAAATACCAATGAGAGAATCATCGATCAGCTGCCTCTTGCACACCCCCTACTGGGGATATGCCTGCAACCAAGGTACATGCCCTTGACCGGAATTGAACCCGGGACCCTTCAGTCCCCAAGCCGACGCTCTATCCATTGAGCCAAACCGGTCTTGGCTGTTACAACTTTTTTTATATGCCAAGAATATGAAACATTTTTCAATTAGAAAACTATTTTTTCTTGTGATCCACATCCCAACATATTAAAGGGTTTAAGGGGAAAGCAATTAGAACAAGCCTCTCTCAAAAGTTTTACCTTTTTTGGACACATAGATTTCCAATTAGGAAAGTATAATACGCAATTAATCTTTCTCTACTCCAGATTTCTTTGTTGCTTTCTGTTTCTTTTCATCTGTTCTGGCCTTTAATCAAGTTTATTGCTGGTACCAAATTCTTGCTAAAAATGTCATAATTTAAAAAAATATATATATTTTATTGATTTTTATACAGAGAGAAAGGGAGAGAGATAGAGAGTCAGAAACATCGATGAAAGAGAGTCATCGATCAGCTGCCTCTTGCACACCCCTACTGGGGATATGCCCGCAACCAAGGTACATGCCCTTGACCGGAATTGAACCCGGGACCCTTCAGTCCCTAAGCCGACGCTCTATCCATTGAGCCAAACCGGTCCCGGCTAAAAATGTCATACTTTTTATTAGCAATCTTTTTGATCATGTCGAGGTTTACAGATCATGTCTAGAAGTTTCTTTTAAAAAAAAGTATTTTTATTGATTTCAGAGAGGAAGGGAGAGGGAGAGAGATAGAAACATTAATGATGAGAGAGAATCATTGATTGGCTACCTCCTACACACCCCTGGGCATATGCTCTTAACCAGAATTGAACTCAAGACCCTCAGTCTGCAGGCCAATGCTCTATCCACTGAGCCAAACCAGCTAGGGCTAGAGGTTTCTCCACTACACCAACCAGCCAATCAGAGTGAGTATGCAAATTAACCCAACAAAGATGGTAATTAATTTGCATGCACAGGTACAGAGCAAAGACTGAAGGCAGCATAGAAGGAAGCCAAGTGCTGCAGAAGGGAGCAAAGCTGTGGAGACTGGAGGGAGCCGAGGCAGCGGACATGGGAGGGAGTGAGACAGCGAAGAAGGGAGCGAAACCCCTTCTCTGCTTCGCTCCAGCTGCAGGAAGCCCTATTCTTGCAGGAATAGGCCTGAGGAAGTCCTGTTCTTGCAGGAATCTTCCTGCAACAGGCCTCTAGTTAACTATAATGGGGGATAAAAAATAACGGGAAACTGGCTCATAAGGAGCAGAGAGAACAGTAGAACACCCAGGAATAGCAGACAGAGGCAGCAGCCACTATCCCTACGACTGAGGTAGAGCACCCGAGGTCGGAACAAATGTAGAAGAGGGTCATATCTCTAAGGCTGAGATTCAGACCTCCTGGCTCCCTGGACGGTAGAGAAGTTCTCTGAAGCTGCACAGCAGCCCTGAGAGTGTGCCAGGGGATGCTGTCCACATAAGATGCCAAGCCAGGAAATCCTTCTCTGGGGTGCCAGAGAAGGCTTCCCCCAGGGAGGCACCATGCCTCAGAACTTGGGGGGAATTGGGGGAAGTGGTTCTCGCTGTGAAGCTTCCTCAAGAGCTGCCAAGGGAAGCCTTTTATGAGAGGAAGTAGTACTAGTCGGACTAGGCTGCGAGGCGATGGGAAGGCTTGCTTACGCTGGGGAGAGTCATAGGCAGCACAGGTGTCTGCCTAGAGGAGCACACAGCTGGCAAGAGAAACCCCTTCCTCCTCCATTGTCCCTCTGGTGCCCTCTACTGACAAAGCATAACATTGCGCCAGCTAGCAAAAGATGACTTTTACAAGTCCAGCTCCACTATCATAGAACAGACAAACAGAAGGACAGGTTTGCAGCTGAAAGGCAATAAATTGATAATAGCTAAATATATATAAAGAGGGAAGTTCATGAACTGTATTTTCTGACAAGTTTTTAAATTATATCCAATTCAAGCTAATCAGTTGCTTCTCCCTACCCTCCCTCTTTAAAATATTTTTTCTCCCTTTTATAACAAAACTAAAGTTTTAACCAGTTCTTCCCTGAGTATCCCTATTTCAGTATCTGAACGTGCAAAAATTCTTCTTATAATGTCATTATTTTTGTTGTTTGTTTATATATATATATATATATATATATATATATATATATTTAACTTTTTCAGTCAGTAGTAATAGCCTTGTCTTATTCAAGCATCAGAAACATTTGAAATATGTTTTTGTAACTGAATTGATAAAAAGTTTCATAATTGTGTTAACTTCCCCTCAGAAAGAAAGCTTTTCAGAGTTTTTTCTATAAAGTATTTTCATTTGGGGTACATGTAATCCATCCAGATGAATAGCTTCCTCCTCTCTTTTTACCCCCTAATTATCTTAGACCCTTGTCTACTTTTATCCAAATACTTGACTAGTGTTCCAACCACATTACTTATTCATCTGCTAGGACTGACTAGAGAGTCAACAGGATGCAGCAGAAGCCCAGTACCCATAGGCCTTCACGGTACTTGACCAGTATCAGAAGTCATGTTCCTTATGATGTCAGGTGCTGCCTTTCCCCTCCACTCCTGGGGTAAGATCTGGACATCCAGAACTCTATAGCCTTCCACACCTTTGAAAGTATTCATGATGAGCTAGGAAATCATTCACCTGTGATAGAAGGAGAAGGAGAGGGAGAAGGAGAGGGAGAAGGAGAAGGAGAAGGAGAAGGAGAAGGAGAAGGAGAAGGAGAAGGAGAAGGAGAAGGAGAAGGAGAAGGAGAAGGAGAAGGAGGGGAAGGGGAAGAGGAAGAAGAAGAAAGAGGAGGAGGAGAAAGAGAAGGAAGAAGAGAAGGAGGAGGAGAAGAAGAAAGAAAAGAAGAAGAAGAAGAAGAAGAAGAAGAAGAAGAAGAAATGTGATGAAGTATGAGTATAAAGAATTGCTGAATAGTTTTTATGAAGATGGTGGTTTCTGTAGCAATCATGAAATATCAATCACCTCTCCTCTGCTGTTTAATAGCCTGACCATAAAGTAACAACATTAGTTAACTCTTTATTCATGGATATCTATCTAAGAGCTCTCATTTTTCCTTTTTTATCACTGCCAAATAAGCTAAAGTTTGCTTTTTTGCTTTTAGTCAATTAATCATTTATTTGGGAAATGGTTTCTAAAAACCTATTATATACAAAACACTCTGAGGATTTTTAAGGATAAGGCAAGACGTAAGCACAATCCAAGACAGTGAAAGTGTTAGTTACATATAAATGGTACAAACCAAATGGTCCATGAAAGTTTGCTATTGTCTAGTATTTTATTCTCCTTCATTAGTACTATTTAGAATGGAATAGACAGCTAGCAGCATATTGGGATCTGGATTTTGATAGTGCAAATTCAGGCAGATAATTATGATATATGTGAACTTATTCATTAAATAAAATAAAATTTGTTGTTTAATAATAAAAATGCTGTTTCTTTTTTTTCCTTTTTTTGTGTGTTAAAAATGCTGTTTCTTTCTTGAGTTTTACTATGCTTAGAAAGCATATGAAAATTGACAAATTTTAATTCTGTTCTCTTGTATTTATAGCTTTGAAGATATTACTTGGTTAGAAATATTATTTGAATATATACTTGTATACAGAGCCTGTGTTAAGTGTTTTAGGGCCAAACAGAAGAATTAGATACAGTCTCATTTTCTCACATGATACATGCAAAAAATAGAGAGAGAGAGGAAATGTGGAGAACAATTGAGCTACTGATAGCCAAGTGCAGAGTGATGTCATGTGAGCTCTGCTGAGAGGCTTGAATGCAGTAGATTGATCATTGTGTAGGTTTAATCAGGAAAAGAAGCTCTTTTCATTGGGCATCAAAGGAAATGATGGATTAGATTTATCTGAACAGCCTTGTTTTCATGACTGAATAGATTCCATTTGCCTTTCTTGGACATGTCTGCCCCATTAAAGTGTTTGGGTAGATGAAGTCTCTGGAGGTTCCTCCCCATTAAAGTGTTTCACATTCCTCCCCATTAAAGTGTTTGGGTAGATGAAGTCTCTGGAGGTTCAGACATATCATTATTAGAAATCCTCTTATCAGAAATATGTGATGAAAAGTCTGCTGTAGTTTTCTGCAATTATGCCTAAAGATCATGTTGAATGATAGCTTTGTGCAAATTTGTTGCTTTTCAAGCATCTCCGGGGAATTGCCAAGCCTCAGGGAAGTTCTTTTCTTCCCTGAGACATTCTTTACTGCCTGACAGGAAGGAAACCTTTCCGTGAAGCTTTTCTTAAGGATATAGAAAGGCTTCTCACATTCAGAGTTAATAGTAATAGTGAGCAGCTGTTAGGAGAAAAGTTCCAATTCCATATACATTTAATGAGCAACTTCTGTGATCCCCGTTCTGTGTTAGATATTGATTCTGTTACGGAAAAGAGCTAGATAGAGCGCTTGCCTCTGTGAGTGTATTATTTAAGAGGGCTTGACTTAGAGAATGAGGGAGAGAGTGGAGGAATTTATTTCATCTTTTTGCTTGGTATTTGGTGTGTCCCTGTGTCCCTTAGGGTGCTTCCTTTTCTTGTTCACTGTCTTGCACGGAGTCCGAGTTTGTTATTTCACCTGGATTTGTAGCCACTTTGACCTTCTCAGTGCTATGCTTACTGTCACTAACTCAGCCTGGTTGTGACTTGAACAGAGTCAAACTATGAATTATGTGCAGAGCTTCACCTGGACTTGCTGCTTATTATCCCGCATAGAGTGTAGCACTTAGATGCCACCCTGAGTGCTTAGCTGCAGTAGCTTGGAAAGGTTTCTGTTATTATCCCTTACTCCCCTCATCTCTGATTTCTGTTTAGATGCTGACATCAGAAGGAGCACAGCCTCAAACAACAAACCCTTGATTTCCTCCTCCCAGGCCTTGTAAGTACTTAAAAAAAAAATAAGTAAAACCATTGTTCATTTATTTTGTTTTTTAAGTGAAATCATATGGTATTTGCCTTTCAATGTCTGACTTGTTTTATTTAGCACAAAACCCTGTAGGATGTCCAAGCTGTTGCAAATGGTTAGATTTCATTCTTTTTTTTTTATTTTTATGGCTGAGCAATATTCCATTGTATATACGTATCACAACTTTTTCTTATCCACTCACCTACTGATGGGCACTTGGATTGCTTCTATATCTTGGCTATTGTAAATAACGCAACGGTGAACATAAGGGTGCATAAATCCTTTCGGATTAGTGTTTTAGGTTTCTTCAGATACATACTCAGAAGTGAATTTGTTAGGTCTAAGAAGTACAAATTGGTAGTTCTAAAATAGGGGATGTAAAATACAGCACAAGGAGTGTAGTCAATAATATTGTAGTAACTATGGATGGTGCTAGGTGGGTAATTAAAATATCAGGGGATCACTTTTCATGTATAAGATTATCTAACCATGATGCTGAATATCTGAAACTAATACAAAATGATGTTGACTGTAAACTGGGATTGAAAAAAAATAAATAAACCTTAGGGTATCTGAGAAACAAACCCGGTTCTTGGCATGAGGATGGGAAAGACCATGGATGAAGCCATCCAAATTCACAAAGAGGCAAGGTTACGTGATGGGCTTGCCTGATGGTGGGAAGCCCAGGGCAAGAGAGCAGAACATTAATGGTTCCAACAGGGTGGGCTCTGGTGGAGGCAGAGCTCTCTGTATGGGTTGTTCCTTCTTTCCTAACAGATCATACCAGAGGCCCCCAGAAGACTGGGCCTCAAAATTGAAAAGAGTGATCATGATTTCCGACTGTGAAATCAAATTGGGCAGGTTCTACATTATAGTAGCTCATTTGGGAGTAACAATAGCTCTTTATATTCCACAAAGCAGTTTACTCACTTTATTTTGAAACAGGCATTATTAATCCCCATTTTGCGGTAAAGAAACTGAAGTATAGAGAAACTGAAGTGAGAAACAGAATTCTTAACGAGCAGTGCCATGCAATGCAGACAAATGGGATATGAGCCTAAGTCTCAGGACTCTAAGACCAGCGTATTTTCCACTAAACACATCTGTCTAAGGATGATAGGAAAAGAAGCTTACAGACTGTGATTGCTGGGGGTGTTCTGTCCGCCCAGAGGTCACTGGGTGTGGTAGCAGGTCCCGAAAGGAAGGCTCCATCTTCCTGCCTTTTCTCCATGTTCAGCCTTCCTTGATTCTTTTCTTTCCAGCTCCCACTTCTTCCTCCACTCCACGTCCGCCGAGGCAGTAGCCATGGGGCTCCTGAAGCAGTTTGAGGGGATGCAGCTCCCAGCCGCCTCAGAGCTCGAGTGGCTAGTTCCAGAGCATGATGCCCCTCAGAAGGTAGGTTCTTCAGCTCTTTCTCCACTGTCTGTCCTTTCTGATATTGTTCTATTTTGTCACATGTCCCCAATCTAGAATGAGCCTATGTGTTTCCTTCCTTGCTCACAGAAGCCATTCTTACAAACCTGTTGAATGAATGAATGAATGCTTACCTAGGTTTCCCCTAGCAATTGTCAAAACAAATAATGGCACCCTAACCAGTTTGGCTCAGTGAATAGAGCGTTGGGTTGCAGACTCAAGGGTCCCAGGTTCAATTCTGGCCAAGGGCACATGCCGGGGTTGCAGGCTCGATCCCCAGTAGGGGGCGTACAGAAGGCAGCTGATCAATGATTCTCTCTCATCATTGATGTTTTTATCTCTCCTCTCCCTCTTCCTTCCTCTCTGAAATCAATAAAGAAATACATTTAAAGAAAAAGTAAATTCAAATTAAAAACAACAACAACAACAACAAAAAACCAGCCAAAACCGATTTGGCTCAGTGGATAGAGTGTCTGTTTGCGGACTGAAGGGTCCCAGGTTCAATTCCGGTCAAGGGCATGTATGTACATTGGTTGCGGGCACATCCAATAGGGGGTGTGCAGGAGGCAGCTGGTCAGTGTTTCTCTCTCATCGATATTTCTAGCTCTCTATCTTCTCCCTTCCTCTCTGTAAAAATCAATAAAATATATTAAAAAAAACACAAAAACAAAACACACACACAAACACACACACAAACAAAACAAAACAAAACAAACAAACATAATAGCTCCTCCACTGTCCTATTCCACATGACTACTGACTAGACCCCGAGGCAGACCTCCCGTGTGTGACCACTTTTGAGAGACTGTGAAAAAGCGAATTTTGCAGATTCTCTTTGTTCTGCAGTTGAGTAAGGCATGAAGCACCCTGGAACACCGGAGTCCCGGGGTGGGTCTGGGACAGCATCAGCAGTGGGTGTTGCCACGCTGGGATGCTGCTCCTGTTCCTTTTGCTTCTTGGAACCAAGGCTCTTACTTCCAGTAGCCTGGTGTCTCACGGTTTCAAGGGCCAAGGTTCCCTGAAGCTCTTACCTACGATCTTCCTGAAATCTTTCATTGACTGTGCTTCCTGAAATCTTTCATGGCCAGAAGGTTCAAGCATCTGTGTTCCCTCAACTGTTTATGTTCGATCACCCTGTGCTTTTCTCCTGCAGCTCCTGCCCATCCCTGACTCACTGCCCATCTCGCCGGATGATGGGCAGCATGCTGACATCTACAAACTGCGTATCCGTGTCCGTGGCAACCTGGAGTGGGCCCCACCCCGGCCTCAGATAATTTTTAATGTTCATCCAGCCCCAACGTGAGTAGCCAGAGACTGTGTCCCCCGAAAAAGATACATTCTCTTTGGATTGCCCGGGCTATCTCTTCATCCTCCTATCTCTGCATCTCACCGTACCTCCCCCACAGTTCTAACAGGCAGCAGGAGAGGATTTCCATCTTGTGAGTCTTACTCAATCTTACCATTCCTTCACAGAGCAACCTGGAAGTTAGCATTTTATCCTTAGATGATTGCTTTTCTTTTCTAGTGTTCTCTCTTCTTTACTACTTCTCATCTCTTACATTTGTACAGAAAGGGTGGTTCATTATTGAGGAGAATTATTGCCTAGACCTAAATTCTTTTAATCCTTGGTTTTAATCAGTTCTCCCAATAGGTTCCGTTTGTCTAATTCTAAAAAAAAAAAAAAAATAGTGAATGCTCCCCTCTTCCCAGCCTTAACAAGAGCCCTGTGTTTGCACCCTCATCCTTTTCATCTCGTAGGCCTCAAGCTGCTGGTATCTGCCAATCTGCTCCCTTCCCCTTTCCGCAGGAGGAAGATTGCTGTGGCCAAGCAGAATTACCGCTGTGCGGGATGTGGCATCCGGACAGACCCTGGTGAGTATCTTCTCTGGCTCCAGGGGCTTTACCCTTTCACTCATTTGGGCAGGAAGATCTGGTCAGAGAGGTAATAAGAGGAGGTGACAGACAGAATTGGGAAAAGGAGGAAAGGGGCCCGGAGGGGAAGGGATAGGACTAGGCAAGAACACTGCCAGTCAGAGGGGGGTTATGTCTAGGAGAACCTTGCCAGGGGTGTACACCAGAGAAAAATTGGTGCTTCTGACCAGGTTCTTGGAGGATACTGACGCTGGCAGCGTTTGTTTTCTGAGATGCCTCCAGGATGGTACACAGAAGCCACAGGCCCCACCACTTAGGTTGCTGCCAACTCTGGGAGCTCGGGCAGAGGTGGCTAGAGCCCCTGTCCATTCCTCCTGCTCTTTACCAGCTTCTATAGAAGGGGAAGACCCATCTCACCTTCTGACTTCCTGGTTTTTCTAGATTATATCAAGCGGCTGCGGTACTGTGAGTACTTGGGCAAGTACTTCTGTCAGTGCTGCCACGAGAACGCCCAGATGGTTATCCCCAGCCGGGTTCTGCGCAAGTGGGACTTCAGCAAGTATTATGTCAGCAATTTCTCCAAGGACCTGCTCCTTAAGATCTGGAACGATCCTCTCTTCAATGTGCAGGACATCAACAGCGCCCTCTACAGGAAGGTCAAGCTGCTCAACCAAGTTCGGGTAAGACCCGTGAAAAAAGGTCACATCATCGATTACCCTTCACATTTCCCTGTGTTTGTACAGACTTTCCCAAGATCACCATGCTTCTCTTTGTCACCGTGTCGTTGCTGTCACATCTCACCGTTCATACTGTCTCTGTGTACTTCCTGTCGCCATTTCCCAGGTGTCTATCTAGTTAGAATCCGAAACCTGCCAGGGAAGTTCTGAAGCTATAGATAGCACTCAGTGGCAACAGCAGGATGTCTCCCTTCTCTGACAATATTATGAGTGGAGAATAGGGTCTCAGATGGGAAATTTGAATTCTGGATTTCTTAACGGCTCCTAACTGTGTATGTGATTTGGGAGACTGATCCAACAGAGGGGCCAACTGGAGGTCACTTTGAAGTGAGCTGTTAAGTTACAGGTAGAGAGAACAGTCGGACTCTCAGGGTTTAAAGGTTCTGATCTAATGGCTGTTTCTCTTCTCTTCATACCCTTTCTTACCCCCACCCACCACCACCACATCTGCCTCCTCAGCTGCTGCGGATCCAGCTGTATCACATGAAGAACATGTTCAAGACATGCCGATTGGCCAAAGAGTAAGTCTTGCATGGAGGCCTCTGGCTGAGTTAATGTCTCTGAGAGAAACCTGTCCCAGCAGTTGGCCCTTGTTGTGTGTAGAAGGATGGTAGGTGGATGTTGCAGGAAATTCCAGAAAAGATAAATGAGAACCAGTTGCTGTCTGTATTCTCGCTGGAAGGGGAAATCTTGTGGTGATTCTCTCCAGGGCAGGCCCACCACTTCTTGCAAGCTGTCATTAATCCCCTGCAAAAGGGTATCAAAGTCACTTCTGCCATCCAGACACCTGGGAGTGTGGGAGGGTGGGGGTGGCCCATAGGCTGGCTGAGTATTGCCCACGTCATCACCTCTGCCTGGACCCCTTCCCTTCCCTTATCCTGCTTATGGACAGAGATCCTTCTACTCTGGTGTTCACTGTCCGCTCCCCTCCTGTAGCCTTCTGGATTCCTTTGACGCAGTTCCAGGCCACCTGACGGAGGATCTCCACCTGTACTCGCTGAATGACCTCACGGCAACCAGGAAGGGGGAGCTGGGGCCCCGGCTTGCTGAGCTCGCCAGGGCGGGGGCTGCCCATGTGGAGCGATGCATGGTAAGAAGGTCTCCCTGAGTGTGTGACTGGACCCTTGCCCAGGGATACAGGTTGTGGGGTGGACCCGGGATTCTTGCCATTTAGTTCCAAGAAGTTGAAATGGCCTGTCAACTCTGAGAGGGAAACTGGACAGGATTGCTTGTCCCTAGGATGAATAGCTAAATCATCCAGATGGAAAGAATCAAGAATTAGGAGAGAATTTGGTGCTGGCATTGCCCCTGAGTAACTGGGCAGTTCTAAGCAGACCTTCACCAGAGAGTTGCCACAATGTGGGAGGAGAACCTTGGTCATTTGCAGAGATCCTGTGTGTCAGGGGTAATTGGAAAGATGTAGCTATAATGTGACTCAAGGCTGGGTGTTATTTTGGAGAAATATTCTTGCCTTCACATTTTAACTTAATTGGCTGTAGTTCTATCTATATATATAAAAGCCTAATATGCTAAGTGTCTGACCGTTTGACCGTCTGACCAGTTGCTATGACATGCACTGACTACTAGGGGGCAGATGCTCTGACTGGTAGGTTAGCTTGCTACTGGGGTCTGGCTGATTGGGATTGGGTTTGACAGGCCAATCACGCTCTGGAGCCCTCCTACAGTCCCTCCCTAGCCCCAGTCGGTACTGAGTAAGATGGCTGGACAGATCTGTAGCCCTCCATAGTCCCTCCCTGACCTCGATCATGCACCAGTGGGGTCTCTTGGCCTGGCCTGTGCCCTCTTGCAATCTGGGACCCTCCGGGGGATGTTGGAGGGCTGGTTTCAGCCCAATCCCCACGGGCCAGGCCAAGGGACCCCACCAATGCACGAATCTGTGCATAGGGCCTCTAGTTTCAAGATAAAATCATTACCCTTACTGGAATTTTGACTTTAGGAAGCCTGTTAGGCATTTTTCTTCTTTTCACTGGGAGCCATACTCATGGGTGGAGTTTCTGAAACTCGTGCCCCTCATCTCCACCTTGAAGTTTTGTCTAATACTGCCCAGCTTGGTCCTAGCTTGCCTGTCAAACTTCTGAGTCTAGCCTGGGTCTCTTTTCTGAAAGTGGGAAAACACCGAGAGCCCATTTAAATCTCATATTTTCCCCGCCCTTCTTATGCCAATTCCTCGGGTTCTGTCCCTCATTTTGCCACCTGTCCCTTTCCTCCCCAGCTCTGCCAAGCCAAGGGCTTCATCTGCGAGTTCTGTCAGAATGAGGATGACGTCATCTTCCCTTTCGAGCTCCATAAATGCCGGACCTGTGAAGGTGAGGGCTGGCGCCAGGTGTGGGGTGGGCAGATAAGTCTGAACACAAAGCTAACGCGCCTCCCTTCAGCCACCCCGACTAGTAAGCGTCTGGCCTGACTCGGCAGCTCCCTGCATTGACCGCAGGCCACGAGGTGGAAAGGGAGGTAGCGGCAACTCACGCCCAGCCCGCGATAATACAGCCTGTGCTCTCCTCTGTCACCTTTCCACCCCGCACAGAATGCAAAGCGTGTTACCATAAAGCTTGCTTCAAGTGTGGGAGCTGTCCGCGGTGTGAGCGGCTGCAGGCCCGGCGGGAGCTGCTGGCCAAGCAGAGCCTGGAGCCCTACACGTCAGACTACGAGGAGGAGCCCACGGAAGCGCTGGCCGGGGAGGCCGCCATCCTGGAGGCCACCTGAAGAACGCGCCACGCCCTGGGCCCCGGGGCGAGGGTCACCCAACGCAGAGCTGAGCCGCCCTTTTAAGGACTTGCCCCACTTTTTTTAATTTTATTATTATTATCATAATTATCTTTTTTTAATGACTTGTCTCATGTCCGTAGAGAGCCAGCCTTGGTTGGGTTGGTGGGGTCCAGTCCGCTGTAACACATTGTGGGCACCAGGAATTCCCATCAGAACTGACACATGGGTCCCGAAGGGAAGCTTGCAGGGCCTCCGCCAGGGGAATGCACCGTGGAACCCACTTCTCTGACGTCCGTGGCCTCCTTCCCTCGGACCAGATCCGGTTGCAGCTGCATCTCAAATGTCATTTCCAGTTTCATTTTGTTTGCATTCTGGAGCCTCCGAGCCAGGCCTGTCTCAACCAACTCTCTTCTCCTTTGCTGCTGAAACAGGCGGGAGCTCTCTCCCTCCCAGTCCTGGAAGTGGGGCAGGCCATGCCCTGAGGAGAAGCGGCAGAGGACGGACAGCATCGTGGACACTCCGTCCAGCTTACTCCACTACTTTTGAGGCCATGGAGACAGCATGACCACTCCCCTAGGGCCCAGCGGCCTCACAGAGGCAGCCATGGCCTCCTCGCTTGAAGTCTTAAGGGCAGGTGATGTGACCGCTCACGGACTTCCTTTATCTACCCTGATGGGCTTGAAGCGAAGTACAGAACTAATACTTCAGCCGGGCCCATTGATAACCTTACTCCAAGCATCAGTGAGGCCGATGAAGGAGAATTCATTCTGTCAGAGGAGCTGTCGGTCTCCTCTTAGGTGTTAGGGTCCCTACCTCTGGTGCAGGTCTGATTTTTCAAGCTCAGACAAGTCCCCGAGGCCATCCTAAACGGAGGACAGAAACCCCATCCTCCATCTCATCTGGTGGGTTTCTTGCCGCTGCATCCTCTCTTAGGAGGTCATTGTGATTCTGGGTAAAAGTAGGGCCCAACTCCGTTCTCTCTTTCCCCGTCCTGTGACAGCTGGGACCCTCCCTGGTGGCTGATCTCTTGCCTTAGTTCTTTCTTGTCAAAGTTGGGAAAAGCTTCCTGCAATTAGCGGTGTTAAGAGAACTTGACAATTTGTGTTTGTGAGTATGAGTCTTTACGTCAATTATGCACTTGGTGACAGTTGTATGTTTATGATCCCTTTCATATTACTAATTTTAACACACACACACACCTCTTTTTTTTAATGTGTGTTTGATGGGAGGGGTTTCTGATGGGACCATGTGTGTTTGTGGTTGTTCTTAAGTTGCCGAAGCTCCCGACCTGTTTCTGAAACACTGGTTAGGGCCGCTGCTCCGAGGCCGGCAGCTCCGTGACCTAAAACCCACAGCGTTTTTGTCCTGGGACTGACCGCTTCCCGTGTCCCTGTCTTTCCATAGTTGCTTGCTAGTCGGGAAAACTTGGTGTGTGTGCTGCCCGGGAAGCTGGACAGAAAGTTGCACACGGTTGGTGGAAGCTGATAAGTGCCTGAACTGGAGGCAACCAGGAGTCTCACGGGAAGTAGCAGGGACTGTATGGTAACAGTCAGATCTCAGGCACCACGGGGCAAGGGGGACCAGTGGCATTGGTCCCTCTGCCTCCAGCTTGGACCCTGAGGCTGCTCTCCTTTCAACTTGTGGAGGAGCCTCTGAAAGCCAAGGCCTCCAGACCAGCCCTGTTTCGAAGGACTGACCAGCAGCTCTCTTGTCCTTCATGGAGTTTGGGAAACGAGCCCGTAAAACTCAAGGCTCACGAAGCCCGAGATTCAGGTTGAGGGGTTTGTAAAAACGGTGAGCTCCGCTTCCAGTTCTGGTTGACATGACAAATCCAGCTCCTCATTCCACGTCACTACACTGGAGGAGAGACATCCTCTCCTTTTTGCGCTGCCTGTTTCATATTCGCATAGGATCAGAGGATGGAGAATGCTGACACGGGTTCCAAAGCCGAGCTCAGCAGCCTCACCTGCTGCTGGGTTCTCGCCTATTCCCCTTCACCTCCCCACCCCGTCCTTTTAGGTTGCGTCTCTGTTTTAGTGACTCTGACGCTCTGCTGTCATCATTGTCCAAAGACCCACTTATTTATTTATTGGAGAGTGAGGGAGAGAGGGGAAGGAGGGTGGGATATTTTGAAAGCACTTTGCAACTAACCAGTATCTGAGAGTCCCGCTCTTGTGGGGAGACGCTTTGAATGCACTGAAGAGAGTTCCCTCTGAATGAAATGGGAGGGAGGAAGTATTCTTTTCTATAAATAAAGGGAAGAACGTTTGCTTACTAGGTGGAGATGAGATTCAAGGCACAGCAGAAGAGTGGAAGGCAATTATTTTCCACTTACATGAAGCTGCAATTGACTTTCTCCTCTAAGGCTTTAGAGCTTTTTGTTAAATTAACATAAAAGGAGCAAGAGTCCAAATGGAGATGTTCTGTGTATACAACTCATGTTCTGAACTGGATTCCTACTTGCTGTAATTCACACATACTTAACAGTTCATTGTCCTCTTTAATAAACTAAGGAAACAAAGTTTTGCCTTTTATTTGCCTGCCTCACAACTCTCAGGAAATGGTCTTCAAGTACGGATATCTACTGTAAGGAAGGCGCATCTGAAAATTCAGAGGCTGTCTGTGAGAATGCCAGGAACCTGGGTCTTCCAGGTCAGGAAAAGGGGGTTCGATGCTTCCTCACTGACTTCCTAGGGGCCTTTGCACAGATCATGTCGCCTCTCCAGATTTCTATTTCTTTGTGCGGCACGTAGTTCTTCCCAGCGTACGGCTGTGCCCACTGTCCATCCCTGTGGTGTAACTGTCACTTATGGTGAGGCATGTCTCCTCTCCACAACATCTTAGGCCAGGGGTGGGGAACCTTTTTTCTGCCAAGGGCCGTTTGGATATTTACAACATCATTTGAGGGCCATACAAAATTAGCCTGCTATATTTGGTCAAACTTTTAATTAACTCACCCCTAATGCCTTGGCAGGGCCAGACCAAATGATGTTCTCCACTCCTGTCTTAGGTGCCTTAGTCCCCACTTCCATGGACAGTTGGCTCTGAGTTTCTCCTTGTGGCCCAATGGAGCTCCAGCTCCACCCTGCAACTTTCTGAGCATGTCCTCCTGCATGACCCTTACTCATCTCCAACCAAAAGAGCCTCAGAGGAACACTCAAATCTGAGATGAATATGAAACATTCTATTTCCTAAAACCTAATCATTATTCACCAGTTTCTAAATTTAGTTGTCTTCGACTCCTTCCTCTCTGAGTCAGGCGGCATGTTGGGCTAGTAAAATACTATCTCCTTCCTACTACCCATCATTAAGTTCAATTGATCTCTCTCTCTCTCTCTCTCTTAAATGTATTTTATTGATTTTTTACAGAGAGGAAGGGAGAGGGATTGAGAGTTAGAAACATCAAGGAAAGAGAAACATCAATCAGCTGCCTCCTGCACATTCCCTACTGGGGATGTGCTTGCAACCAAGGTACATGCCCTTGACCGGAATCGAACCTAGAACCCTTCAGTCCACAGGCTGACGCTCTATTCACTGAGCCAAACTGATTAGAGCTGACTTCTCTCTTTAAATTAAATCTATCTCATTCCTTTTCTACCACTAGCACACAAATCAGGTTCTTTTCTTACATCTCAACCATCTCCGGCCATGCCTATTGAATCAGCCATCAACTATTTGGGAACCTGTTTGGATGAAGAGTGGGGAGGACAGAAAGCTTTACCGCGGGGTCACACTCTCTTGCCTAAAATCAGTATTCTCTCCCCATATGATAAAGTTTGGTCCCTTCCCCTGGCACATAGCGAATCTTCAATACACGGCCACACTGCAGCTTCCTAGCCAGAGCTCTTGACATTCCCTGAACCACTAGCAGGTTCTCAAATATACCTAGATCTTTCCTCCTTTCAAGAGCTAACTCGGCTACATCCTGGCCTTCCCTGACAGCATTCTACTGTACTCAGCCTGTGTGAGCCCTAGACACCTACTAAACCTCCTGTTAGATCACTTCTCACACAATCTTGTTATTTAGAGATTAGAGCAACAAACAAGTGAATGAATGAAATGAATGAATGACTTGCCAGGTGGCCTTTCAAATAAGGAACTGTCCTATGTGGAAGCAAATGGACAGATGAAATGAGGTCCTTGCTGATAAGGTCCTTGCTGATAAGGATGCTTTTGCTGCAACAATGGCCCTGACCGACCACTGTCAAACACCTGTTCTCTTTAGTCACTCTAAACTCAGCAGCCCTTCCTCTGCAGAAACTCAGTGATAGCCCCAAAGACTCAGCACAAACCCTTCCAAGTTAAGACAAGTTCAACTATTCATTAACTTTCTTTAAAAAATATATATTTTATTGATTTTGTACCGAGAGAAAGGGAGATACAGAGTTAGAAACCTCGATGAAAGAGAGTCATCGATCAGCTGCCTTTTGCACACCCCCTACTGGGGATATCCCCGCAACCAACGTACATGCCCTTGACCGGAATTGAACCCAGGACCCTTCAGTCCCCAAGTCGACGCTCTATCCATTGAGCCAAGCCAGTCGTGGCTATTCATTAACTTTCTATAAAAGTAGACATTATTCTTTCTGGAGAGTGGGAGAATCACTTGGGGCTTATTCTGTTCTTGATCATGTTTTTCCCTCCCTGCCTCTCGGTGGGTATAGAAATGATCAAAAGTGAGACAAGGGACAGAGGGTGTTCTAACCTTGGCTCTGACGAACTCCCCTCTGAGCTGTCTTATCTCTTACCACCAAATCTCTGCAGTGTTTCTCTCCCACATTTTGAAGTGATGAAAGTGTTCACATCCCTCTGCTTCTTTTTTTTGCAATGATTTCTGTTTTGTTTTCTCCAGCAGTCATTATCAGAGTAGATAACATTCCAAATGTCCTTCACTCACTTTATTATTAAACTGCCAGCTTTTTCCTTGCCAGGAACTAAACTAGGAGAGCTGATGATATTTGTATGTCCTAAAAGCGACCTAGGTATTTAAAATCTTC